GGAGGGAGTGAGGGAGGAGGGAGGAAGAAACAGGAGAGCGAGGAGGAGGAAACAGAAAAGGGGGAGGAGGAGAAAGTAGGTAGGAGGAGGAGATTACGAACTTGATATTGTCGTGGAACGCAATGTCCATGCCCACCATCTCGAGGTCAATTTCGATCTGAGATATTCAAAAGTTGAGGACGAGAATGTTAGAAGGAGCCGCAAAAGAGAAAGAAAATTTTAAAAATTAGCAAGAGAGCCCTGCCAAACTCGTTTGCCCCTTCCTCTCTCTCCCCCAGTCCCCCCTACGCTCTCTTCCTTCCTCCCCCCACTCTCCTCCCCTCGCTCCCTCGCTCCCTCGCTTCTTTTCCTCTGCCTTCACTCACTCGCAGATTCTCGAAATGCTTGAGGCAGGCGAGGAGCACATACCCGAGGATGGAAACCCAAAGCTGAGGAGAGGTGAAAGCTGAGAAGTCGGGGAGAAAGACAGCTGGGGGTGGGAGAGGATGGGGGGCAGAGGGACAAGAAAGGAGCAAGAGGACGATAATGACGAGGAGCAGAATCAAGCATGAATGTAAAGCGGTGAGAGGAAGGCAGAAGAGAAGGAGAAGATTAAACGAGCGGTACCAGGGGAAGCAGCAGAGCCAAGGTCTGAGCTGCCAGCAAGCTGCCGCCGTTGCCTAGCAGAACTCCTCCTCCCGAGAACTCGTTGACGGATCTTCGAGAGGCAGAAAGTTAGAAGGAACTGCAGGAGCAGAGGAGCTTTTCTCCCGGCCATGCTTGCCTTCTCTCTCACCCAGAGGGAGGAGCAGAGGGGAGCGTAGAGGCAGAAATTCAACACAGGAAAAGGAGGTATCATAGCAGGCGGCGATGAAAGGAGGAGAAGGAGGAGGAGGAGGAGGAGGAGGAGAGAACTAGCATTCTCCTGTCCCAGTTAAGTGATACCTCAAATCTCGGACGTAGTGTTCGGAAGAGAACAGACCGGGGACGAGGGTCCCCCACATACCTGAAGGGATGTAAGGAGATCGAGAAGGAGGGAGTGAAGGCAGTGAGGGGAAGCAGGAGGTAGTGAGGAGGAGGAGGCGGAGGATATGGAGGATTTGGAGGTGGAAGAGGAAGATGGGGACGACGGAAACGAGGAAAGGAAGGAAGAGAAGGAGGAGAAATGAACTATCAACGGTGGAAGGGCAGGTGGAGGAGATCAGAACCCGAGAGGCCATGCACGGAGCTGACGTCAAGAGCGTCATCGATGTGAAGGCGGAGGAGTAGACGCGAGCCGGCGAAGCAGAGGCCAGCTCCAATCACACCCACAACTGACGAGGCAGATATGAGAAGCTCTACCACTCACCCTGCCTTCCTCCCCCTCCTCCACCCTCCTCCGCCCTGCTCCCCCTGCTCCTCCCTCTCCTCCTCCTCCCTGCTCCTCCTTCTCGTTGTTCCCCCCTCTCTCCAGTGTCTGCCTCCACTCTCCCGTCATCCTCTCATCCACACAAACCGCATCCTCCTCCCTCTCCCTCCCTTATCACCGATGGCGAAGTAGGGCTCAATAATGGGAGCTGATGCAGAGATCGAAACAAGGCCTGGGACAAGCTCAGCAGGAGCACAGCTGGAGGGGAGTGTCAACCCGCAAACGCGCACTTCAGGACTGTTCCGACGGAGTGGCAGCTGAGAGCAGGGAGTGACTTGTCAATGTCAAAGTTTTCAAATTTGTCACCGGAGGTAGTAGACGCTCAGGAAGATCCCCACGAGGGTTCCTGATGCTGAGGCTCAGCTTGCGAGAGCGGGGGAGGAGGGGGGTTCGGGAAGGATGAGGGAAGGAGGAGTCACGAGAGAGGAGAATGGAAGGCAGTCGAGGAGGAGGTGAGAGCAGGCGGGAGAGAGGGGGAGGAGGTTGGATTAGAAGAGAACAAGGAGGAGGGAGCAGAGGAGCGTGATGTGTCTGTTCACCAGAGGATAGAGCGATCAAGGAGGATTCAAAGGCTCTGGCGCATCATCGTTAACAGGGAAGCAAGGATCGACCAGAGGAGTCTCCTCCTCCACTCCTTCCTCTCTCGCTCTTCCCCACCTTCCTGACGACGTGCTGGAGTTGGAGTAGGCACCTAGCCACGAACCACGTCACTCCTGAAGGTGGTGTGGGAGGCTGCAAGAGCTAGGGAGGGCAGAGGGGCGGAGGGTGTGAAGACCTCTGTCCCTGCTACCCACCTGACAGAAATCCGAGCCAACTCAGGATGGCCAACGACAACCCCGAGTAGACGAGCGACGGGTTGTTGCTGGGAGGAGCAGCATCGTCGTCAGCAACGAGGTCCACCGTGTCCTCTCACAGCAAGACATCATCGTCGTCGTCATCCTGCACAGGATATTCTCCAACTCATCCCACTCCCTCACATGCTCAGGAACTTGGGAGAGCAGGTCCCGTCCGGAGTGAACCTCCCCATCCTCGGCCCGATCATGATCGCACCGATCACACCCATCACTCCTGCAAGGAACACAAGCCGACAGGTCAGGACGGAAGGGAACTTCGTATGGGAGCCAACCAGCGATCAGGTGAACTTGTGAGGCCCCTCCAGAGTCGATGCACCCGATCCCTTCCGTTGCTCTGCCGTCCTGCAGGTGCAACATGGGATGCATGAGCTGGACAGCAGGACAGCGCACACGTCTCCTCCTCCTCCTTCCTCCTCCTCACCTGCAAAAATCCCCCCGAAGATTTCATCCAGTGGCTCGGGAGGGGGTACACGAGGACGGAAATGAGGAGGACGACGCAGGCGTAGCTGGAAGGAGCAGCAAGGGAAAGTCAGTGCATCTACCTCACATCTTGTCCTTGTAGTAAGGACCGTGGTAACTTACGCGGCTATCTGAAACCTTTCCGTCACGCTTCCGTTGAAAATGGTGACGGCAATCTGACATTTCAGGCCCTCCACAACAATCTGCCACCAGCTACTGCGAGTCAGCAAGCAGCAGCAACGCAAGTCAATGTGTCACAATTCGTTCTTGGCCGTCACCGCAAAGTCCGAGTTCCCGACAAATGAGTTTCCAGAACCAAAAGCGAAGCCCTGGATCAAACAGACGCGATGAGAGGGAGGGAGGGACGGGAGAAGTGGGGGGAGGCGACAAGGGAAGGGGAGGAGGGAGGAGGGAGTTCTCACGTATCCGATGAGGTACCACATGATGATGACACAAGCGCTGCATATCAGACTGCGAAGAAAGACCTGTCGGGGCGATGTCAACAACAAATTTCATGCAGACGACCAGAAATGTCGAATGCACTCACGCTCTGTATGTTCCGATGGGAGACAGTCCCAGCCTCATACAGTGTCAGCCCGAGGTGCACGCCTGCAGTGAGTCACGTTGGTATGTCACTGGCGACGCGTATTCTACCACAGAGGAGCACTGCATCGATGAGCATTGCGCTGGACATGTCGGCTTGCCCTGCTTCAGTCAGCCATGCGTTCGATCTGCGGAAGAATCATCCTGGCCAGGAAAAGCCTGCATCGGGTATCGTTAGGCAAAGCAGACGCGGAGGGCTCTGTCTTTGTATCTCAAAACTTCGAATCGTGTCATGTCAGTTTCACACTACGTCTGCCTCCTCCTCCTCCTCCTCCTCCTCCTCCTCCTCCTCCTCCTCCTCCTCCTCCTCCTCCTCCTCCTCCTCCTCCTCCTCCTCCTCCTCTGCATCTTCCTTTTCCGCTTCCTCTGCATCTTCCGCTTCCGCTTCCGCTTCCACTTCCGCTTCCTGAGTCTTCCCCTCCCCCTTCCCCTTCCCCTTCCTCTTCCTCTTCCTCTTCCTGTCCGCTCGCTTTCCATCCCACTCTTGCTATGAGTGTAACTTGATCAACCATCCCAGTCTCTTCTCTTCTCCCTCCCTCCCTCCCTCCCTCCTCTCTGCAGCCTTCCGACCGATCCCCTCCTGCTGTTCATAAAATCGACAACAGCAAATTAGTGAAATATTAGTGTTAATTTATAGAAATAATATTAATAACAAATAACTTTCATTTGCAAATTTTGCTGAGAAATAGAATTAAATGTTATGATCAGTATTAAATTTGGATCCAGATTAGTGTTATTATCTGCATTGTCGGGAAGAGGCATATGCTCGCAGAGACAGGCCATCGTTGATCAGAGCGGGAGAGGGCAGGCAGAGCAGAGCAGAGCAGAGCAGAGCAGAGCAGAGCAGAGCAGAGCAGAGCAGAGCAGAGCAGAGCAGAGCAGAGCAGAGCAGAGCAGAGCAGAGCAGAGCAGAGCAGAGCAGAGGGAGGAGAGGTGGAGAAGAGGAGAGAGGAACAGAAGCATATAGAGCAGAGGAGACGGCAGTGAGTTCACGTCCCTCTAGCTTCTACAAAAGAAGATGATCGATGCAGACGATTACAACCCTGAGGAGGAGGCGGTCAAGGTCGAGTACGATGTTGAGGCCTGTGAATGGAAGAGGACGACGAGGAAGATCATGATAGGCAAGGACTTCTTCGATTCTGGAGAGAAATTTGGTTGTGTCTTTGTCAGGGATGTGCTAGAGGGACAGGTTCATGTTATCAAGAGGCTGCTTCATGCCGAAGAACCGCCAGAGGCAGTTTATGAGACTGTCCGGACCGAGGCTATCGCCTGCTCCATGGCAGATTGCTACAACACCTACGACCCCCCCAAGAAGGTTACCTTCGTTCCAACCTTCATTTACCTCCTAGTCGGGCGGGCGGGCCAGCCTGCAGTGCGGGTAGAGCCGTACATCCACAACTTCCGCAAGGAGCCGGTGAGGACATTGACGTTGGAGCACAGACTTGATCTGGACACCCTGGAGGCCTTCGAGCTATTCACCTACGAGCGCTCGCAAGCCTCCTTCGTGCTGGTCGACCCTTTCTACATCTCCGACCTCTGGTACAGGCCGACGTGCCACTCGGTGGACGGGGAGGCGTCGGACGGGATGGACCTTGGCCTCAAGGGGATACAGCTGTTCCTCGTGAAGCACCGGTACAACCCTGTGTGCCAGAAACTGGGCCTGAGGAACCCCTCCTGCCTGCTCGGGCTGCGCAGCGAGGACAGGACCCTCGAGCTTCCTGCAGTCCCTTCCGCGTCTTCGCTTCCTCCTAGCAAGACTCCCGGTGCTAGCGTGGGAGGTCGTACGAGCTCCTTGCCGCGGTCGATCCCTCGATCAGGCACAAAGACCAAGAGCAGGAAGCTGGAGGAGAGGGGAAGGAGGAGCAAGAGCAGGGCGTCGTCCTCCTCCTCCAACCGCAACGGGATGGCGGGGATGCAGCTCGAGATCGCCAACAGGCAGGTGACTGTGCTGCGAGTCTGCAAGGACGGGCCGGCTGACCAGGCGGGACTGAGGCGGGGCCACGTCATCCGAACGATCGGCGGGGTGGCGGTGAAGGGGATGGACATGGCGGCAGTCCAGCGGCTGCTGGAGGGGAAGCACGGAGCTGTGAAGAGGATAGTGGCCGCAAACTCCGTGGTGGAGCAAGACCTGGTGTTCGACATGACTCTCGCAGCTGGGATCGTGGTGAACGATCGATTCCTGTTTGCTGACACGGAGGAGGTGTGGGACGAGGACTTTCCGTCACAGCCGCAGCAGCGACACGATAGCAAGAGCTCTTCGCAGGGGGGCGGCAGGGAGACGGGCCCGTCCGAGTCGCAGACTTATGTGCAGGGTGTGGGGGGTATCGCGCTCGCTGCTGATTCGACGGGCATAGACGATGACTGGGAAACAGTGGATGTGGAGGCTGAAGCGGAGGAGGCTGATGAGGAGGAGGCAACTGGAGGGGTAGCTGAGTTTGAGGAGGAGGAGGAGCTCGGCGATGAGGAGAAAGAGGAGCAGGAGCAGGAGCTCAACAAGGAGGTACTGGTGGTGGGTCGCGATGTTCCCATCCTGCTTGGCATGAGGGTACGGATGCTGCCGGAGTACATGCAGCATGGCACTGGCTCAGTACAGTCGGCGAACTTCCTGAGGAAGTACGTGGCGGTCAAGTGGGACGACGGATGGGAGGATTCCTGCCTGTACGTGGGGGGAGGGGGAGAGTACTACCTGCGTCAGTGGAGGGAGGGGAAGGGACGAGATTGAACTGACGATCTCTTATAAACGAGCCATGCTCAGGAAGAGAAGAAGAGAGGAGGAGGAGGAGGAGGAGGAAGTTTTATTTGCTGAGGCAACACAGCTCTGTCCTCTGTTCTTGACCCTCATCACTCCGCCTTAGCGAACCTCTCGATTGCCTGCAGGGCACGCACGTCATCTCCCACCCGCTCCCAATAGCTGAGCTGAGAAATTTGTTTCTCACCTTGTCAAACTTCTCGTACTTGGACAGGACGCGGTCGAGCGCTGACTTGCCGTTCTCCTACGAGCCCGCATCATAAGGCGAAGCCTGACAGGAAGCAAGGGCCAGGAAGCAGGAGGAGGAGAGCAGGAGCAGCAGAAGGGGCAGAGGGAGGAGGAGGAAAGTAGCAGCAGCAGCAGCAGCAGCAGCAGCAGCAGCAGCAATCAAGAAGATGACACTGGGAGAGGAGGGTCACCCTCAGAGTAGACGCGGTCTCGTCTGTTCCCACGTAGCCGGTAGAGTAGAGGTTGTAGTCGACCTCGGCGATGAGCTGCAGCAGAGACCAAGGAAGTTCAGGGAGAAGGGAAGACGAGAGGAGCAGGAGGAGCAGGAGGAGCAGGAGGAGCAGGAGGAGCAGGAGGAGCAGGAGGGGGCGAGAGGGGGAGCAGGAGATGAAGGTGTTATTGACGGAGGGGGGAGAAAAGGTCGATGGGCAAGGTGTGGAGGTTGTGGCTGGTCTTGATGGACGATGGGAGAGGAGAAAGTCCGAAAGGAGCAAGGAAAAATGAGAGATCGGGAGGAGAGAAGGAGAGGAGGAGAAGGGGAGTGGCGAGAGGAGGAGAGGAGGAGGAAGAAGAGGAGGGAAGAGGGAGGAGGAGACTCAAGTAGTCACCGAGAGGATGATGTTGAATTCTTCCTCCAACTCATCCAGCTCTTCACCGGAGATATCGCTTCTTCTCGCACAGGCCTATCGCTCCTCGTCAGTCCCCTCTCCTCCCGCTCCTCATCATTCCCCTCGCCACCTCCTCTCTCCCTCCCTCCTGAGCACGGACCTTCATTGCACCTTCGAACGCCTTCCTGATGTTGAACAATGGGCTCTTGTTGCCGACAGTGCCCAGCCTCCTGCACAAGCAGTGAGAATTTCCATTCCTTCCTTTCCCCTCCCCTTCCATGCCCTCTTCTCTACTTTACTCTCCCCTGCTCCCCTCTCTCTCTCCTTTCCTCTTCTCGCTCCTCACCTTCGGATGACATCTCCATCTCCAGCTGCGATGTATCCATCCCACCTTCACAGCCTCATCAGATGCAGGAGCATGCGGGCAAACATCTTTCACTTCTCCTGGAGCTCCACCAGTGTCTGGTACCCCGCCTGTTCAACACCCTAAGTCACTAGCACCTCCCAACCCAGACATGAAGTCTCAACGTCGATCTGCGAGAGGTAGGTGGAGACTTTGTTGGGATCTCCCGTCACTTTCACTTGTCCCCCTGCCACCGTCTCGAACGCCTTCTTGAACTCAACGTTCTTGCTCCCCTCGCCTGGTCCCTCCCACAGTCAAGAGCAGCCGGGCGTTCGAGGGTGAAGTCAGAGGAGCAACTTACATCTCTGTCCTCCACCGATCGCTGCTCGGCATTTCAGCTCCTCCTTAGTCGCCTGCTCTCATCCTGTCAGAGCTTCTGAGGCTACGAAGAGGATAGGACAACAGCAAAGGACGGTAACGGGAGGGAGGAGACGAGGAGTCCAGCGCCGGCCTGCACAAAGTTGGAGAGCAGCTCTCTTCCTATCACAGCGACATGTCAGTCAGCTTCTCCTCACAACTAAGAACCCATACTCGACTCAGGGACGTCTTGTTTCATCGAGCAGTCAAGGGAGGGTGGAGCGTTTCTCCTCAACCTGCCGCTGAGATTTCACAACCATGACATGTCCAACCGCGACTCCTCGTCACTCACTGCAACATGGAGGATGCAACGCTTGTCTTGCCCTTCATGGCAGATGATGGTCCGACCGGACACGTCACGAACGCCATGACTGCGCCGAGCGACGCCATCGTAACGGCCGACCGCAGCATCCCCGGCGTGAACATGGCTGCAGTTCCCTTCTTTATAACTGACCACCCCACCTTCTGATTACAGCACTGAACTTGAAGGTACCCCCCTGAAAGATGAAATATGGGTACCCACCCCAATTTAAGACTGTAAACAGCTCTATCATGATATACTCGAATAGGGTAGGGTACTGCCTGTTTGTGTGGATCACCCCCATAACTTTAGTTCCTTCTACCCTGACCCCGTCCATTGCGCCTCCCCGATGGCGACTAGCAGGAGGGACCAGGACCAGGGCTAGAAGAGGAGGAGGAGGAGGAGGAGGAGGAGGAGGAGGAGGAGGAGGAGGAGGAGGAGGAGGAGGAGGAGGAGGAGAACAAGTGGACACCTGGAGACCCACCCGAGTGATTTGAGCAGGAGGCATAGAGCGAAGATGATTGAGATCCCTGTTGGGATCGCAGCTTCAGTCTCCTTTACCTGCCTCCTCCGCCATGTTGTCGTCTCTTTCTTCCCTCATCACGCTCGCTTCATCCTCCAGGGCGGACTGATCAGCTCTATGGTCACAAGCGCCGCAGCGGGTCTGATTGGCATCGCTACCTCCAAGCTCATTGCAGTCCATTCAAAGCTCCCTCAGCCTCCACAGCTACTCCAAAGCTCGATAGGAGAAGATAATGGACCTGTATTCTCTGCGCAAGAGCAGGATTGTCCGGGGAGCACGGAGGTTTGGAAGAAGAGATCGATGAAGACTGAAGCAGTGGCGTCAGGGTCCAACGTGAAGGCTCGTTTGTTTCCTCCTTTTCCCTTTTCTTCAGCTCACTGCACGCGGACGGTGAAGTGCCAGGATGCTGTGAGGTGGCTGGAGGAGGAGGAGACGATCGCAGGAGCGGTGTTCACCTCCCTCCCTGATGTGATCGAGCTGGACATGGAGGGTGAGGAGGAGGATTACAAGAAATGGTTCCTCCATGTTGCTCGGTTGATCCTCTCAAAACTTCAGAAAAATTCGGTTGCAATTTTCTACCAGGTAGAACAAGGTTCTTCCTCCTCCTCTCTTCTCCTCCCCGTCTTCTCTTCGCCTCCTCCTCTCTGCCTCCTCCTCGTCCTCCTCGTCCCTCTTCTATCCTTTCTCTCTCGTCGTCCTCCCTCCTCTTGCTCAGATCTATCCAGTATCCTTTACCCTCATTTCTTCTCCACCTTCCCCCTTCCTCCTTGACCGACAGAACGTCTCCTAGTGCTGCCCATGCCTCTCTTTGCCCCTCGCGCTCTCCTTGGAGCAGTTGCTCAGTTGTTGTTTAACTGGTTCGACAAAGACAGATGTAAAAGTGATGAGCAACCGAAGATGTCAAAAAGGAAAAAAGGGCCAGACATGTAGGAAGAGGAGGAGGAAGGGAGGAGAAGGAAGGGAGGAGGAGGAGGAGAGCAGGAGGAGGAAGGAGGAGAGAAAGATAGGAGAAGGGATGCTCGAGGGGGATGGGGAGGAGAAGGAAAAAGGAGAGGGAATGTTATTGAGAAAGAAGACATTTGACATGTTCAGCAGCACCTCACCTTATCGAGTGGCTTGACAAGTCATTTCTCTGCATGAAAGCAGCAGAAGAGGCAGGATGTAAACTGTTATGGAGGAAGACGGTGAGATGACATGGAAGACACTGAAAGGATGTTGCGCACGAGAGGAGCAAGAGGAGAAGAGAGAGGAGAGGAAGGAGGAAGAGTAAGGTTGCGCTTTGATCTGCTTGCAGGTTGTGAAGGGATCGGCGAGCGCCTTGTGCGTGTCTCGTCCCACTACGACTCACCTGCTCTGCTTCGGGAAAGTAATTCCCCTAGAAGAACCCGGCTACCCTTGCATGCAACTCATTTTGTCTTTCCTTTCCTTTCCTCCCTCTGCTCTGCTCTGCTCTGCTCTGCTCAGCTCAGCTCTGCTCAGCTCAGCTCTGCTCAGCTCAGCTCTGCTCTGCTCAGCTCTGCTCAGCTCAGCTCTGCTCAGCTCTGCTCTGCTCTGCTCTGCTCGGCACTTTCCCCTCTTGAATTTTCATTCCTTGTTGTTCCTCTTCTTTCCCCTCCCTTCTGTCCCCCTCGCGTCTTCGCAAAGCTCAAGCATTGCTCGCAGAACGACGTTGAATATCCTCCCTCCAAGTTCTCAACTCCTGACATCTTTCCTCGCGGCGTCATGACCTGGCCTAAGGTGCAATTCCTCTTCATTCTCTCACGTTTGCAATCTTCCTCGTCCTCTACTCCCCTGCTCCCCCCTCCCTCCTTCCTCCTCTGCCGTTCCCTTCCTCTGCCGTTCCCTCACCTTCACCTCGTCCTCCTCTTCTCCCTCCCGACGTTCTTGTTCTTCAGGCCATCGGACTGGACGCTGCTCTCCTCGGCTGCCGCTTCCTGAAGGAGCAGATGAAATGCGAGCTAGTCATCGACCCATTTTGTGGCTACGTACGAGAGGAGGAGGAAGGAGGAGGAGGAAGGAGGAGGGAGAAGGAGGAGGGAGAAGGGAGGCGAGATGTAGATGGATGAAGGTGCTCAGGGGCGAGAAGGATGGTAGAAAGTCGGAGGTGGTGCTGCACACAGAGTGAGGAGAGGTTGGGGGGCGAGGAGCAGCATCCAGAGGATGGGAAAGTAGAGTCGAGGAGTTGGGGCAGGAGGAGCAGGTGGAAATACGTTTTATGGACTCACTGAGATCCTGTCAGGGGACCATCCTTGCCTGTGCCAACCTGGTGCCGCCCCCGCCCCCCCCTTTCCTCCTCCTCCTCCTCCTCCTCCTCCTCGTCGGCAGCAGCCGGGTCGATGTCCAGCTCCTCTTTTCTCCGCTCGCTTCGGCAGCGGGCGGATGAGGATGCAGGCTCTCGTATTCAATTTCTGCCGGCAGGAGGATCTTTTTTTTTGTTAGAGTTTTTTTTTTTTTTT